GGTATTTCCCTTAGGGGGTACATCTGAGCTGCCCCTTTTTGGCTTCTAGTTACATGTCTAGGAGGAGGGGGAGACTCTTGTTCCGACTCCGGTGGGGGAGTGGGCGCTCTGGGGACCTCTGGAGGGGCTGTGGGAGCAGGAGGGGAAATGTAAGGAGGGGGGGTTAGAAGGGTTTCGTCTAACCCTTCCTTCTTTTTCTTCTGTTTAGTTTTTATTTCATTCAGCAGGTAAAGTCTAGCTCCCGGTCTTTTTAGCCACACTCCCGCATACTGACTTTCTTCCGGGTTAAGGTTTTGTTTTTTTTTTTTTTTTTTTTTTTTATTAACCCAGAGATTTAATTGTTGCCTTTATCCAATCTTCTTCTGACCCGCAGACTGGCCAAAAGACATTTTTAGAAATCTTCTTCCCTCCCCATATCTTAGTACAATATTCTATCATTTTCTGCTTATCTTTCCCTAGTGTTCCAGGGAAATATCTCCAATTGTCTAAGATATATGCCAGAGGGGTATTCTTAGGTACAGTGGGTACCCTTCCCATGGGAGTCGAAGGCTTGCTGCCCTTCGCCCCCATCTTCTGGATTATCCACAAACACACACTCACTTGCTCCCCTTGTTCCTGGCCCAGTCCCTCGCGGGAAATGGGAAACGCAGTACTTAAGGGTCCGCACTCGCTTGGTTCAGTATATCGAACCTCTCATTCGTTATAATCCAGGAAACCCAATCCCGCCTGAACGGTAAACCCGCGAACAAATTCGCAATATACTTACGCATCCTGCGTCTTCGTCCGGACTCCCGTGCACAGAATTTTTATGGGATTTTACCGGTTTCTCCTTTGCTCATTATTCTAGAATTTAGGTTCGTCGGTAAGGATGGGGTGGGCTATCAGTCGCGGGGCCGCGGATTGCCGCGGGGCGCCTCCCCGGAGGACAGAAGCCCACCGTTCCTTATCCGAGTCACGGCACCAAAATTGTTATAAATTGAGACCACAATGGATCATAATCCAATTATAATTTTATTAATTATAGCAAGTAGAATATGAGCAAAGACAGCGCTGGACGGCAGGGGAGTCTGCGCTCCGCCAACTGCCGTACTGATCAGTTCAAAACAGTTCCTTTTTATACATTTTTACATCCGTGGTTGTCTTTGATCAGTACCCCTTCTGCTTGCACAAGTATCTGGTTTGTGTAAGCAATTGCGGTTATCTTGTCTCACAGGTTATCTTGTCTCACAGGTTATCTTGTCTCACAGGTTATCTTGTCTCACACAAGCGGCGTCTGGCAGCTATTTGCATAAGCAGTTTTTCTGTCTTTTGCCACCTAACCTTTACATTGAGCTTAACATAAATTTCAATAAACAATACTCTTAGTTCATAGTTTCTTACAGTTATGACATGGGATTGTTTTGGGATATTCACAGAAAGGAGATTTAAGTTTATTGCTTTGGATGTTAGTTATGCATTAACCTAATTTACCATATAATTTCAAATAAATGCAGAACAGTTCTATTCCGAGTACATTGCTAGCACTCCTTAGAATACTGATTTTTAGAAATGATCTAGACCATCACTGATTTTTAGAAATGATCTAGACCATCTTAAATTAGTGAGATTGACTTCAATGGCTGCCTCTGAAATGCATCTCGTTTTTCTGCACTTCAGCCTAACAAAGAGTCCACAGACCTTAAGCATAAGTGTCTTGCAAAGATTAGAGAGCCCTGTGCACCAAGAAAAATATTACCTGTAATTTACTTCAGTACTGACAAGCAGTGACTCACTGATAGGTATAAAATTGTAGAGTCCAGATGCCGCTTTTGAAAACAGGCGTAAAAGAGAGTAGCAGAAGTCCTTCACTATAAAACATCTTGAGACAATTTAGCAAAACCCTGTCTGGGCTCATATTCTACAATAATTAGAGATACCATTTTTCATTCAGCACCACGCTGCCAGGCACCAAACTTCATGAACTTTAATTATGCCTGTAAAAGCTATTAAAAAACAAACAAACAAACAAAAAACAACAACAACAACAACAACAACAAAACAAATAGCATTTTAGTTATTAGAGTTGGAAAATATTTAGCAAACAGGAAAGAGATGTGGACAGACACTGTAGAAAAAGGTGTTGAAATCCAGTTACGTTTTTACCTGCTGTTGTTTGACAGCCTGCTTTTCTCATGTTGGGAGAAGGGGGTGGGCAGTCCAGTTCTCTAATTGTTTGGGGTTTTTGAGCATGTAACATGGACACTTCAACTAGAGCAGCACCTGCTAAAGCTGCAGGCAGTCAGCTCTCTGATTCTGATTTTGGAATACACAATCTAATAGATGATTCAAATTACTAGCCATCTTTTATTAGCAAGGATATTCTGTGTCAAATATGTAGAGCTTTTTACAGATTCTGCTCCACATTTGGCTGTCACAATGAACTTTATTTTAAAGGAAAGCATGAAGAGATTTGCCACAGTTAGTGAGGCATCATCTCTTCCACGAACTACTTCAGGAGCCTGTTTCTCAAGAATACACATTCCTGTTATAGGTAGATTAAGGCAAATCACATCCAAATATGGATTAATGAATCCATATTTATTAAGGTAAGAGAGCAAATGCAGTGCTGGGGTGGCCGAGGAGTCCCAGCTCCGTCCAGGCTCACCAAATTGTTTAAGTTTCAAACCCCCTTTTATCCACACAGCTGCCAGTTTCAACACCTTCGGCACGCCTCCTGGCTTCTACAATCTTATCTTCTTCGTTCTTCTCCTCGCTTCAGCCTCCCGTCGCACTTGCGCAGTGCTTCCTGGTGGTCGTGGGCAGGGGTCTGCAGATGAAGGCTCATAGTCTTCTTCACTGTGTTCACTAGCTGACCCTTACTTCTGCACCAACTCAGTTCTGTGGTCACATACACATTGACCTTCAAGTCTGGGCCAATTTGCAGCTCCTTTGTCTTTATGGCTTAGTGGTTTCAGTTCCTCTCTTATCTCAAGAACAAGAGATACCAGAGATGGCCCATCCTGTTCTTTCTCATTCCATTGCAAAGGAGTTACCACACTTTGATATGGACCATCTGGTGAGCATCCCAAGAAGGGGGGGCTGTTGGGTTGGTGTTTCCTCAGATCAATTCCCCCCTTTTCTTTTCCCAGTAGTAAAGTCTTTTACTTTTCTTAAAATTTGGATCATTGTACTAATAATAGCTTTAGCCTAAGAAGTAATTGTTTAATTACTTTTAGTGAAAGCAAAATTCTTCTATTATTTATCACAAAACTGTGCAAAAATAAATCATGGATTTGCAAGTGTGTTTGTGTATTCATATCTGAAAGAGCACGTATATGCAACCTATACATGTGTGTATACACAATCATATATACATATTATGCAAAAATTTTCTAAGATTCTTCCACTGTTTCAATGACATTTTAGAACACAGATTTTGTATTTTATTTTTATTTTCATTTCTTTCCACTCCGTTAAAAGTTCTTTCCCTGATGGTTCTCTTCAATAGAGGTGTAAACCCTTTTTTTTTCTAACCATTTCTCACAGGAGGGCAGTCTTAATTTCAGAGATGGCAAGTAGTTCCTTTATCAGAACAAAGATCTTTTCTTTGCCTCATTATCTCTTCTTCAAGTTAAAATTCACAACTGTGTGTGTGTGTGAATTTTTGACAAAGAGTTCAGTTCTGGTTATTCTTTCGCTTGTTATGGAACAGAAGGGATTTGCTCTGTTATCAGTGTTTGCTCATAACTGCTTGCCTTCCACTTAACCTTCAAGTTTAATTAGCTAATAATAATTAACTAACTCAAAAAGCATGTCCTGAAAGTTAGTGTTGATCTGTGTCCAAAAATTGTGTTTCACTGCAGTGGGGAGATTGCTACAACTGTGTAACAGTTGTGATCTAATTTGTTTTCTATGTAATGCACCAAATGAGCCTTGCGATGGAGGAAATTACTTAAATGCCAGCTTGTGGAGAAGGGGTTATGATCAAATAAGAATGAATGTGAGAGAGGTGGAGTTTGCATTGTGTTCTGTTTCAATTACCACTTGAGTACTGGAGTTGACTGGAGTTTCATATTTTGTGTACTCTGGTGCTAACTTTCCTTCTTCATAATAAGCAGAATGAGGAGAAAAAGAAAATTACTTTATCACACAACTTTCAAGATGTCATAGAAGCTTTTGCCATGACAAAAGTTCTGGTTCCCATTTAACACAAGTGTTAATTCTATTAAAGAAACAAACAAAAGTAAGGACTACAAATCAGGTGGAAAATTTTGCTTTTGCGTTTGTAGTGCAAATTCTGTACTCCCTCAGAAATGTCTCCTGGTGATGTGATCTGCTACTGTTGTCCTAGGGATAAGACCTAGGAATCACAAATCGTCTCCAGGATACATCACTTGCTTGAAAGCATTAATTGTCTTTGAAATCCATCCAGCCTCCTTTTCCTTCATAGTAGAGCAGTATGTCCCAAGTTGCCTGCCCTTAACCAGAGCTGACAGTTTGGGCTAAATGGCTCTTTGCTGGGAGTGGTTAAACTGAAACATCTGCTTTTTCATTTCCTTGCCTAATCCCTTCCTGCAAAATACCAAGGTAATGTTACTCCTTTTTAAGCTTTTCGTTGAAACGGTTGGTCCATCCTGAGTTTCTCATCGCTTTTAATTTTTCAGTCCTCACTCTCTCAAACTGTCTGATGTACAGGGAGTTTCACTCCCAGCGTAATTTACATGAAGTGAACATCATGGTCTGCAGCCTACCTTTTGTGTGCCAAACCCTGAAATGACAACAGTTTCTGGCCAAGAACTGACAAGAATAAAAGACTCCTGCAACACTGCAGTATAATTTACTCTAATTTACTTGATCACTAGGATGCTTTAATTCAAGTGGCTCAAAAACGTATCACAACAGCATTCATAGGATCAGACATCTGTGGTGTTTCACTGCCTTTCCATTCTATGCATGCTCCATCTGACACTTCTTTTTGTTTTTTTTCCCCACTCATGCTGTCACCTAATTTGGGCGACAAGGATAACCAAACTCTGACGGTAGGCAGCAATTAGTATGTGTCTGGACATTTGTTTCTCAGGAGAATGGTGAGACAAGCCTTACTTTGATTTGGCATTTTTCTCAATTACTGGGATTTTTTCCCCCTTCTATGTTGCTAGTAGAATTTAAATAATTTATTTCCAATGATAAAGTGGTGAATTAATTTTCTTGTTCAGTTTCTATCATTTCTCATTTAGTATTTGTATGACAGCAAAGATTAATCCATGTACCGTGTATTAATGCAAAATACTATTTCCTCAGGGTTGTTTTTTTCCTGTAATTGGATTTCAGGGTCTTATTATTTAGCAGTCTGTTGTCTCTGATTATCCTGTTTGTTGAAATGAGCAGACAGCTATCCACAAAGCAGTCTTACTCTATGGGATATATTAAATTCATCAATTATTGTACTAGACAATGGCATGGGGAAAAGAACCTCAGAATATATTTTAAATTTCTTTAAAATATATTTCTTTAAATTTCTTTAAAATATTTTAAATTTCTTTAAAAGCATGTCAAAGATGCTTGTATATTAGCTCCATTGCTGCAGATGTCTGCACTGCCTTACCACACTTGCACTCTGCTTTTGCAATCAGTACTTAGTGGATTGAACCAAAGAGAGGCATATGTTTCACTCTGACTGAGCTTTAGGATTTTGCCATTGAAGAAGAGTACTCTCTGTTCATTTTCTCTATGATCTTGATAATATGCATATTTGCAATGTACCAGGGCAATAACAATTAGAATTTACTTCAGGGATTCGACCCCAAGGTTCTAAAAAGAAAGAAATGATGAATTCTTTCTGAAGCACATATGAGGTTTTTATTTTCTTAACATTTTAAGAGTTTTCACAAAGGATTCTTTTTTCTGTGTTTTATTCCTGAGTTCTGGGAAACTAATGACTAATCTGATGATCCATCTCCTCCAAAGAAATTGTCTATATACATGACAATGTTTAATAAAGTGTATAGTTTAATATAATCTGCTGTAGGTGATGGTTGAAAATGTTTCACTGTAGTAAGGTGTGAGATTAATTTGTAGTGTTTCAGACCTGTTTCCACTGAAACAACAAAAACCCCCTGAATTCTTTCCGTTATTTTTCCACTTAGACCAAGCCACAGCTCCAGCGGGGAGGAAGCTCTGCATCTCTCCACAACAGTCTAATGAGGAACAGCATCTTCCAGCTTATGATTCACACACTTGACCCACTTGCTGAAGGTATTCCTGTTATTTTTTTTGGTTTTCTGCTGCAAAATCAAACAAATACTTCCCTTTTCCCTTCTCCCCATGAAACTGGTTTTTGCATTTATATGGATTTCATCAGTTTTTTCTGAATGTGTCTGAATTTTCTGAGAGAGTTTTGCACTCTTATGGCATGGTATGCATACTCCCACCAAGACTTACAATTTAGGAAATGTGTTCATTGAGGTGCTAACTAAAACTGATCACTTGATTGATGCATATTATAACTACTGTTTCACTTCACCTCTGGCTTCAGTAGCAATTTAAAAGTTACAAAAACTATCCTCTTGTATTTTTGTAGTTTTGGTTCTTTTGTTTTTTAATTTGAGTTTACTACATCAGAAAAAAAAAAAAAAAAAGTCAAAATGGTGGGTAATTTGTCATATGGAATTTAGAAAAGAATAATGCTCTACTGGTTTGACTTCATGCGGTTTAATGCTGACATTAGGAAAAACACAACAAGCATCCCTCTGTGTTACATGCATGTTAACAGTTTGCTTGCTTTATCCAAGTGTCATGTAATTTATTTTTTTTTTCTTTGAGAAGTTAACAGAAAAACCATGATTGCTTTGGTGTGAGAAGTTGGCAGGAAAAACATAATTGCTTTGCAAATATGAGGTGATTTGAATCTCAGCTTCTGGTAGACTTCTGAAAAAATTCAAGGCCAGGTGTTTATTTGGTGAATGTGTATCTGTAGGACTTTTCTTACTGTAGTAATAAATGTCTTGAGAAGTAGCATGTGTGAAGAAATTGTGAGGGACTAAAGATACCTAATATATTACTGTCGTGGTTTGGGCCTGGCCGGCAACCAACCACCGCAGCTGGTCACCCTCCCTTCCCCCTCCCCACCTTGGAATGGGGGAGGGGATTAGAGGGGTGAAGGGAGACTCACAGGCTGAGATAAGAACAGTTTAATAATGGCAATAAAATGAGAACAATGACGATGATAGGGGAAAAACAAAAAGAAATATATAAACAGGCAATGTACAGCGTAATTGCTCACCACCCGCTAACCAATATCCAGCCCGTTCCCGGCCAGCGACCCCGAGATACCAAGATCCCGCAATCGCAATCCCGGAAGCGAGAGAGAGAGCTCCTTCCCAACCACCCCTCCTTTATACAGTGAGCATGACGTTCCATGATATGGAATATTTCACTGGCCAGTTAGGGTCAGGTGCTGTGGCCATGCTCCCTCCATGCTCCCTGTGCCCTTGCGCACGGGCAGGACATGGAGAGTCGGAGAGTCCTTGAAGTCTTGGTAGCAGCTGAAAACATCAGTGTGCTGTCAGCATTCTTCTCATACCAAACCCAAAGCTAAATCCAAAACACAGCACTCATCTAGTCCCTGAAAAGGAATATTAACTCTATTTCAGCCCAAACCAAGACAATTACTGACATTAAGACCTTCCAAATTTCAGTGATTAAAAAGTGTATGTAGCACTTACTTGCATTTCAGTTTCTTTATGTTTCTCACTGCAATGTTGCATACAGCTTTTCACATTGCTCTGTATTTCTTGGACAAGACAAATCTACTTTTACATTTTCCTCTTCAAAAGCTGAAACTGACACTCATTTTGTCAACACAAGGGAAACTTTAGCCCTTGTAATCTCCATACCATTGTTTCTGCTCTGATCGTGAATCACATCGCCTCTCTATTTGGTTAATGCTGCACTATTCACTGCCAAATCTGTTGTCTTTTAGAGTGTAGTCATCAACAGGCTGTACCTCATCTATTCCCATTCAATGCCGAAAAGGACATAAGAAATTAATTGCAATTATATGTTTGGCTTCCTCAGCAGGTGAGCAGGATTTGTAGTTGCTGCACCCAGTAAGTCTCATCTTTACCCTCCTGGTAGCCAAACTTTTCACTCTGCTGGAAGAATAAAAGACTTCCAATCTCAATTTCTCACTTTAAAATGAAAAATTATAATTTTTCACTACAATCCTTTGCACTCCTCTTTTCCCTTAAAGCAAAGCTCCTACACTGTGGATGCATCCATCTGTGGTGTCTCAAACTATGCTAACACAAACAAAAATAACAATCATCTGAAGCAATAAATAGACTTCATCAAATAAGTTTAAAAATAATAGAGAACAGAAGCAGGTTGAGAAGAGTTCATTAGCAGGGACAGAACCGTTATGACATATTGAAGAACACAAGTAAGGTAGCTATGTTGACTGGAGTTCAATTTGGACTTAAGTTTCAGAAATAAGATCAGCTCTCAGGTATTTTCCCATTGCTCAATCTTATTTCACTTGTTTCCTAGACATAGACTGTTCAGTGTTCATACCTTTTCTCACTACTTTTCCCCTGTAGCAAACTTGCACCATGTAGTGTGATCCAGAGGATTCCCATTCATGATAGCATAGAAAAAAAGGGGTTTGAAATCTGAAATCTATCTTGGGAAATAGAGAAGCCCAAGGCTTTTGAAAATCAGGTATTACAATTAAATTATCAGGTAACTCAATGCTGTTCTTCATTATGTCAGTAAAACACTTGAGATCAAAATGGATTGATAGAGATGGTTGCAATGGATAAATCTTATTCAAATTACTCTCCTAAAATTTTCACCAGGGTTTCTTTGCTCATAATACTTTACTGTTTGTTTGGGGTTTTTCATCTCTAAACTCTTCTATTTGTCCTGGAATTAATATTCTTCAAAAAATGGATTATAAAGTTCTTGTGGTCTTTAAATAAGCGCAAGGCAGTAACCACCTGAATATTTTATTAAAACTTACACATTGAGTTAAAATTCACAAAGGAGGGGGAAAATCAACCTGTAGTCACACTAGATATTGTATTTTAATGCACAACTTTCATGAAGAAATGGCCAAGAAAACACTGGAAAATAGCCTATGTTTGTGCAGACGTCTAAGTTGGTGTAACTTAAAAGGAGCTAATATTTTAAATTTCCACTGATTTCACAAAATTAAGGTTTTAATTAATGAGAGCATGAAAGTGCCAGTATAGTACAATTCAGTAAATACTTTTGCATGTGGAGCTCTGGTTTTAGTTTTTTGCAAATACACCCAGATGTGTAGGAGAAATGTAAAAAAAATCCACCCACTTTTCTGTCACACATTGTGATCGTTAACCTTTTCTGAAGCACCACCTGAATTATAGGCAGACTTGGCTTTCAAGGTCTTTGCATTGTAGGCAGTTTGGAAGGCAGACACAGGGAGTATTGGATATCTCCACTGAACACTCATATTGTTTCCTGAGATTCTGAGCTTTTATTTGTCCACATCCATTAATCTGTATTCAGATAATTCTTCAAAACTCCCTAAAAGAAAAGGCATTTTAATTTGATGTAAATACTCTGTCTTGCCAACGTAGGTAATACTAGTTAACAAATTTAGATGGTATTGTACTTGAATCTTACATTCAGTTCAAAAATATGTGTGATAATGGATATGGGTACCTGCTGTATGCAATATTGGTTATCTATTTGGCTCTGTATGAATTTTACCTATGAAACTCACCATGTTCTTGTGTTTTAGTCTTCCTGTGTATAATAAACATCCAACAATCAACTGATGCATCATGTTCATTTAACAGACCTTTATCATGCTAGCTAAGCAATTTTTTAAGCTGATAGCATTTCATTGTTAAGACTTAAAAGAATGGGTAGTATTTTTCAGAAGTTTCTGAGAAATGCAGTCCTTTGCTCTATAAATCCATCATTTGGGAGGATGTAGAAATGTAAAAGGATAACCTTGTTAGCGGTCGCAATCGCGAATAGAACTTATCTACACACAGCAGATAAGCAGGCACTTCTTTATTCCAGCGCTGGGGAACACGGGGGATAACTCCGCCAAAGACGTGTTCGTCAATCGGTACAAAGCACAACATTTTTATACACTTTTTCAGCAGAGTCATAGTTACATAAGATCAATAATTCCATAACGTTTAAGCTGACCTTTATAATGATTGGCTTTTAGTTACCTCTCCCTACCTATATTCCTATTCTGCAGAAATCATTGGTCATCCTCACTAATTGATTTAAATAGAATGGGGGGAGGGCAATGATTAGCATATTCATGTTATTTCTTGGAAATTATTATCATATGCAAATGTCTCCGACGCATGCGTGGTTATACTGGATGGGGGACTCTGGTGGTCATTGATAGTCTTCATCACTGTGTCCGCTGATTGAACTCCATCCTTGCGCATGCTCATTCCACCTTTGGTTAATGTTCACCTCTCGCTTGCCCAATCTTTCCAACCAAACCAGTTTTCCTCAGGTACCTATTGTTTCAAGTCAAGATCCATAACCAGTACCCATTATGTTAATTCAGAGCCCATGACGATTCTTATAATGTTCAAAGCACACAGCATACTAGTTGCTTAATCCTAAGGGCCTTAGTGTACTTTATATTCTCATAGCTACTGTAGCTTCATGTTAAATCAAAATCATACTTTTAAACTAAAATCAAAATAATATTCTAGGATTCCAACTGTTTCATTAAGGTAACTGCAACAACCTGGTGCCTTCTCTGGCCCACAGGGCTTTCTTCACTTCACAAGCCCTTTTCCATTACAAGAAAAAAAAAAAAAAAAAAAAAAAAAAGAGAGAGACATAATGAAGAAATAAACAAGTGATTCCTTTTAGTTCTGGGTTTTGTGTAAGCAAAGGAAATCAGCTCCATTGCACTCATGTAGTGAGTGAAAGATGATAGACCTAGTGCATGACCTGAGAGGTCAAAGGATTTCTTCCAAGTCATTTAATGTAAGCATAGATCAGACTCAAAGGAATAGCAGAAAGATATTTTGGGGCATTTTTCTGTCCCATTTTAGTCAGCTTAGATCCCCTCAGTATTTCTGCCAGATGATGACTTAGATCAATAGGTCAATAACATTGCATCATTAGCCATATTTGCTGGATTTGCAACAAAAGAGCAGTATATGAGAACATTACAAAGTGCTATTCTCAAACAAAAAAAGTGTGAAAGGTGTAAATCACAGCTGACACAT